AGAAGGCTGGAGCCTATATGAAGATAGGCTGAAGGAGCTCAGTTTGTTCAGCCTAGAAAAGAGAAGGCTGTGTGGAGATCTCATTGTGGCCTTCCAGTATTTAAAAGGAGTTTACAAACATGAGGGAAATCAACTTTTCTAGATAGTGCTAGGACAAGGGGGAGTGGTGAGGTGCCGGTACAGGCTGTCCAGAGAGGTTTTGGTTGCTCCATCCCTGACGGTGTTCCAAAGACAGGTTGGATGAGGCCCTGAGCACCTTATCTGTGGGAGCGGGATTGTGGAACTCAGTGACGACTCGATACGAGTTAGCAGCTAAGTCCAACTTTAATCAGTTAACACAACAATATATACACCAACAAGTACCCTTGGCCGCGTACGATTGGTTATACAAGTCCACGCATAACCTATCACCGCATGTATCCGATCACTGGGCGAAAGCTGTCACTGTGACAACACAGAACCTGTTACCGTGACAACGCGGAATTCCCCAGAGACGCCTATTTTTCCCACCAAACTCCTCATTGGACACAACTCAGCAACCACTTGTTTATCGTAAATCCTCACAAACTCACCATGTCCCCAGCATTCCCGAGGTGGCCCCACTCCCCACGCCACCCCTCCACACTTATCTAGTGTTTATCTAGCAGTTAGCAACCCTGTCTGTGGCAGGGGGTTTGGAACTCGAAGGTCCTTGAGGTCCCTTCCAATCCATGATTTCTAATCTATGACTGCCATAGGGCAGGCTGTCATCTATTCACCTGCAGGCATAAGCATTGTACTGGTAGCCTTTGTTACCATGTTGTTTCTCCTAGATGTTCTCAGTGCTGGAAACTCCTCCTTCCAGGTGCTTCCTTCCCTCACCGCCTGACCTGATTCAGGTCAGTAGCCCAGAAGAGCTCGAGGACAACTCTTCACATATCAAGCCTCCCCAGCACTTCCCTGTTCTGGTGGGAGCCTGGGTGACAGTCCAATTAGAAAAGCAAGCTGAGACTGGAACCAAGGAGTCCCTCACTGCTGTGCAGCTATCCAACAGCTTCCCTTGCACAAAGTGCTGGCCTCAGCCCTATGCACTATAACCCAATGGAAATGGTCAAAACAGCTGCTTTTGGACAGGGTGTCTTTATTACTCAGAAAGTGGGGTCGCCTGGAAGCAGCAGCAGCCCTGCTGACACAGGTAACCGGGGCACTAGATGACTATGGGGAACCCTGACAACTGTGGGTATCTGGGGAAGAGACGCTGTCCATGGGAGAGCTGCTGGGAGACAAAGTGAAGGGTCTGTGCTGATTTTGCTGCACAGGTAGTCAAACTCTGCTTAAAAGGAGCAGGGGAATGGGCTGGATCCACTGTAGAGATTATTGTTTTCTTGGGCAAGTACACCCTCTTTTGTTGCCTCTCCCAACTCTGTTCTGCATTTGTCTCCAGTTTGGTCTCTCTCCCAGTGACTGTCAGGATGAGTTTGTCTCGGAGCTGTCTCTTCTCTCTCACATACTGTGTGAGAATGAGTTTCAGAAAGCACTACTCACTGATGGGAATTAAGAGGACACTTAAAAGACCTTGCAACATTAATCCTAGCAGCATACTGCCAGCAGCTGATTTGGTCATCCAGAATCCTGTCACCACAACTGGTTCATTGCCAAATGCAGCGATAAACTATTCTGGGGAAAAGCCAACTCACAGACATATTTGCCACATCCATGACACAGCAATACAGGTCATCACGAGCCCAGACAGCAGCACAGCTAAAAGCTGTGCAATCACTGGGATGTAGTGCATTTGTAGAAACCTGTGAACCACAGCCCTTGTGTTTTTCCCAGCATCCAGCCCTGAAAGAAATTAGATAATGCTGCATGTTACCATCACCTATGCTACAGATAATATCACAGTGTGCTTCGTGGACCCAAGGGATTTTATTTTTCAGTGGGTACCTCTGTCTCTGATGTCGAAGCAAGAGAGGACAAGAAGGATTGCTTCCACTTCTCGTTGGGTAAGGAGAGGCTGCACCAGCACTGCCCATGTATTTCTCTGGGCTGAGGGCTGGGGCTCTGCCTTGGGGTCTGGGCTTTGTTTGTGGGGAGCACCGCAGAGCAGAAAGCATCACACCTGGTGATTCTTGCCTTGGTGATTCTGATTCCCTCTTGTGCTGTCACTGTTACCTGGGGGCAGAGGCCAGTCCCCAGTTTGCCACCACCTCCTCTCAGGGAATTGTAGAGAGCAATAAGATCTCCCCTGAGCCTCCTCTTCTCTAGATCTTCTAGTCCTACTATCTACCTATTGCCAATATTGTCCTCTAAACCACATATCTTAGTACAACATCAATATGTTATTTGAATAGCTCCATGGATGGATTCCTGAGGTTCACCACTGGTCTCTGCCTTCACAGTGAGCAACAATGGTTGATGACAATCACTGAGTGTAACTGTCCAGCTAATGCATTATCCACTGAATGGTCCATCTGTCAAATCCGCATCAGTCCAGATAGATGACATCAGAAGCTTGGGCTTGAGCCTTATCCACTAATGCTACAATGCCACCATAGAAGAACAAATCAGTCATGCATGATTTGCTCTTAATGAAGTAAGGGCTGTCACCAATCACCTCTGTTTTCAGCTTGCTTTAGTATAGTTTCCTGGAGATTTCCCTTATGATCAACTGACAGGTCTGTAGTTTCCCAGGTCATCCTTTTTGCCTTTTTAAAAATGGGGCTTATGTTTCTCCTTTTCTCTGATTCGATTGATAGTGGCTTACCAACTTCACCTGCCAGTTCCCTCAGACACATCTCATCAGGTCCTTTGGGTTCGTGTACCTCCTGATGGTGTCAAACTTAGCCATCTCTTGAAGCAAGCAGTTCTTCATCCTCCCAGTCCCTGGCTTTGGATTTTCTGAACCGGGTGGTGTGGTGAGAGCACTAGCTGGATCCCTGCACTCCCAAGCCATATCACTGTTCTCTTCATAGGATGTATATCACTGCCTCTGCTGTCTGTGTATTTTGTTTTTAGTTTCACTAAAAGTAGAGGGCTTGACTTAGTCAAACTGGTCTGCTACCTGCCCTGCTTGACTTCTTACACATTGGGACTGGGAGATCTCAGGCTCCAAGAAAAAATGTGCATACATATTTCCTGCCTCTCATTTAGTCCTTTTATCTCTGAAGCAGGAAAATCTTTATTACTGTTATTTTTTTTCTCCAGTTAAGTACATACAAGCATATACTTTTCTACTCTTTTAAATACATATATATAGCTTCATGAAGGGCAGATCTTGCCTGATCAATCTGGTGGCCTTCTATGGTGGAGTGACAGCAATGATGGACGGGGGAAGGGCGATGGATGTTATCTTCCTGGACTTCTGCAAAGCCTTTGACATGGTTCCTCACCACATCCTTTCTCTAAATTGGAGAGGTATGGATTTGAAGGATGGACTGTTTGATGGATTAGGAATTGACTGGCTGGACGCAGCCAATGGGTTGTGATCAGTGGTTCTGTGTCAGGGTGGAAGCCGGTCACAAGCGGTGTCCCTCAGGGGTCAGTCTTGGGACCGGTGCTCTTCAGCATCTTCATCAATGACAGACGATGGCATCGAGTGCACCCTCAGCAAGTTTGCTGATGGCACCAAGCTGAGCGGTGCACTTGATGCACTGGAAGGAAGGGAAGTCATCCAGAGGGACCTGGACAGGTTGAAGAAGTGAGTCCATGTGAACCCAATGAGGTTCAACAAGGCCAAGTGCAGGGTGTTGCACTTGGGTCAAGGCCAACTGTGTTCTGGGTTGCATTAAAAAAAGGGGTGGCCAGCAGGGAGAGGGAGGTGATTGTCCCCCTCTACTCGGTTCTTGTGAGGCTCCATCTGCAGCCTGGGGCTGGGGCCCCCAGCACAGGAAGGACATGGAGCCCTTGGAGCGGGTCCAGAGGAGGGCACTGAGATGATCAGAGGGCTGGAGCACCTCCTATAAGGAAAGGTTGAGGGAACTGGAATTGTTTAGCTTGGAGAAGGCTCCAGGGTGACCTCATTGTGGCCTTCCAGTACTCGAAGGGAGTGTATAAACAGGAGGGGGAATGGCTGTTTGTGAGGGTGGATAGTGATAGGACAAGCGGGAATGGTTTTAAACTGAGACAGGGGAGGTTTAGGTTGGATATTAGGAGGAAGTTTTTCACACAGAGGCTGGTGATCACAGCATGCCCAAGGAGGTTGTGGATGCCCCATCCCTGGAGGCATTCAAGGCCAGGCTGGATGTGGCTCTGGGCAGCCTGGTCTGCTGGTTGGCGACCCTGCACACCACAGGGGGCTTGAAATCAGATGATTGTTATGGTCCTTTTCAATCCAGTCCATTCTATGATTCTATGATACTTCTCTCCTGTACAGCTTGCCAACCACTCTGCTCCAAACCATCATGTGTTGCCATTCATATTCAAAACTCATTGTTGTGTGTCGTCACATCACGAATTGTTGTCATCCATCATTGTGTGCCATCCATTATCATGCATCAATCCAGTGTATCATTTGTGTTATCTGTTGTCATGAGACAAAATTATGTCATCTTGTCTCATGACATATCATTGTCCATCATCATGAGTTGTCATTACCTGTCATCACATGTCATGAAATTTTGAAGTCCACTAATCCCAAATTATTGTCAACTGTCATTATATGTCATGACATATCATCACTTGTCTTTTTGAGTCATCACTGAATGTCAAGACGCATCAAAATGTGTAATTATCTATCACTGTGCCTCAACATCACATGTTGTTGTGTGTCATGATGTGTCATCATCTGTTGTCACAAGTCAGTGTTGCATATCATCGTGTATTGTCATCCATCATGTATCATTCTGTGTCTTAACACCTCACTGTATGTTGCTGAGAGTCATTATCATGTGTATTATGACCTGTCTTCCACTATGATCACTAGTTGTCAGTACTGTCATTAGCTTAGTAAATGTCATTCAGTATGAAATATTTATACTATATGCTCCATGTGTTAAGAATAAATGTACAGTAAATCTTGGTAAGATGTTTGTAAGGATTTTTTTTATTAGCACAGCGGGGTGCTGACCTTAGTGCTATCGGGTCCCACAGGTGCAGTGTTGCAGGTCAACTTTGTTACCACACAGCAATGAGGCCCCAGGGCAGCAGCTTGTCTGGCAGCGCAACAGGGTGTTGTGATTTAACTTGGCAGTGGCTCAGCACCATGTGGTCATTCACTCACTCTCCTTCTTCCTGTGAGATGAGGGAGAGAATTTTAAAAATCAAAGTAGAACTCATGGATTGAGATAAATCTATACACTGAGTTAGAGAAAAAGGAAAGAATAATTGTAAGAAATATATGTATATTCTACTTGATGCTATAGGGTATAGAATATCCCTTTGGCCAGTTCTGTTCTCATTCTGTTCCCTCACAGCAACTTGGGCCCTTCACTGTAAATGGACTTGGCTCTACACAAAACTTCTTAGCAGCAACTATAAACATTGATGTGTTATCAACATAGTTTTTTTCCTAGAACCAAAAACATAGCATCGTACCAGACACTCTGAAGAAAAGAATTTTGTCTCAGCTGAAACTGTGACAATATCCACCCCTTATTTCCATACCACTTACATCATGCTCAGGTTCCACATTTTCTACACATCCTAACTAATTACCATCACATATCTTGCTTTTTTATGTATATACACATATATTATTCTCATAATCTATCAGCCAATAATGTACATTGTCCACAGTATTCACTTAGTTCATAACTTTGGATTTCATCTGTCATAACAGTCCTTCAGTACGGGGAGGTATGATTCAGTGTCGGGTTGCTGCATGCAGAAGCCAGTTCTGGTTCCAGTGGAGTTCATTCTTTATTAACCTGGGTAATTCCTACCGTATTGCTGTTAACAAGGCAAATAATAATAATAGTATGACATGCAGTATTATGCAGTAATTTAACATCATATAATTTAGATTACTGGCTGTTCTCACCCAGCATCAAATCACCATGAGGTACACAACAGACATCCCCATCCTTCCACACTACCCATCCCATGCCCCCAGGTCCCTGAGCAAAAGCAATCCCACTAACAGGCTTGCCTTTCCCTGAGGCTAGCCCAGCATGCTCACAAGTTATTAAGACCTATTAAGTGTCCAGTCCTGATAGCTGTGGGATGCAAGACCCTGTGTGCATGACTGTGAGAGGAAAACTTAACAACTGACTGTTGCCCTTTATTTATAGACCACCACCTCAGAATCCACTGTCTGCCCTATGCAGCCCTGCTTCTCTTTTGGGGAGTGATGTCCCCATTCCCTTTCCCCTTCCCATGCCCTTTAAATTTGTCCTGAATCTGTTAATAAAGGAGACAAAGTTCTGTCTACCTTTTTAGTTTATTTTAACAAAAGTTACTGTTGTTTACAATGAGTTTGGGGACAATGACTTGTCTCCTTTCCCCACCTCTTTCTAGTACAACTAGAAACAACTTTCTAGACAACAAGTTGATGACCTGCAAAAGCTGGTATAAAATCTCTTGCCAGACACCCCTCCCTGGGGGATGCTGTACAGACCTCTGTGTATAAAGTCATTGCTGTCTCAGCAACCAATCAGCTTAAGATTTATTTTTCCTATTTTTCTTCTATTTCTAATGGAGGCATAAAAAACATTTTGGGTTTACTTGAAGTTTCTGATGAAGAGACACAATTAAGATTTTTCTGTGATGACTTCTGCATACTTGTATTTCAGACAACGTAGCTAAAAACTTGATGTAAATTCCTCCATTTTTTCCTTTTTTGGCCTAATGAATATCATGTATTCAGCATGAACACATATATCATACACATATACTTTATAGTATATGTTCCATGTGTTAAGAAAAAAATACATTTAATCTTCATAAGCCTGAAGCTTTATCCTCAGATGACAATAGCAGCAGGCTAGCTAGAACTGCACTGAGCTCACATAGGCAGTAAGTGTCAGTAAGAGAGAAAGGAGAGGGTTTTCTGTAGGCAAAGATGTTTGTTCAAAGATGGTTGTTTTTTTTTTTTCTCCCTAGCTCTCTCTCTCTATGAAGCTCTCATCTCCCTCAGCCCTTAGCCGTATTCCTGAAATTCAGATTTCTGTGAGGAATTGTGCCTTAATCAAACAGACTTTCTTCTGAAATGCTAATGAGCGGGAATTGCAGGAACTCTTCTCCTCAGGCTTCTCTGGGAGAGTCCTCAAATGGAACTCTTAAGAGGGAAGAAATAATGCTGGGCTTCCTTGGCTTTAATAAGCACTGAATGGAGAAACAAGACATGCAGTAACAATTCTGTTGGCCTTTGCTGATCTGTGATGTAGCTGTTAGTTTGAAATGCACTTCTCTGATAATTGAGTTCTGCAGCCCAGGAGCTTCGATTAATCTGGTTGAACTAAAAAAAATTGACATCAGAACAGAGAGGACCTCAGCAGTGGGGCAGAAGAAGGCAACGATAACTGCTTCTGCAGTCTCTGTGTTTGCATTTCAGAGAACTTAGTAAGTGAATGCTCCATTCCGGAGGAAAGGAAGTTGCACGTGGTACTAACTACCCACTGTGGCAGTCTTCCACAACCAGATGATCTGAGGGAATAATTCTGCTCCCCCAAAGCTTGAACATATGCAGACACAGGCACCTCTTGTGGTTCTGACATAGTTAAAAGAAAAACAGCATTGACGAGAAGTCAGTAACATGAGAACAAGCAGCACTGTTTGTACTTAGGGATTATTCTGAGCCATACCTGATCTAAACCTCGACTTGGCTGCACGGAGAGCCAGTCCTCCAAGCTCTGCCCCAATTCGCACCCAGATTTGCCCGTGCAGCAGCTCTGGGCCCACACTGCTGCCCACTGCACGGTTACACCAGCACCCGGTTGTTAGGGAAAAGCAAAACCTTCGCCATCACATGGGTGGGGCGTTCAAGGAATCCTGCCGTCTCTTGCGGGTCGTTAGCGCCGTGAGGTGCGCTACGAGCAGGCTGCAGCAGCGTGCCGCTGCCTAACGGGCCTGGCACTGCTGCGCGGTCGTGGCACGAGGAGGCGGCACAGCACGGCACGGCACCTCACAGGCCTCTCCCCACGGCCGCGTCCTCCACCTCAAGTGGAGAAACCGCCCCCTGGCACGGCAGCAGCGCGCCGAGCGGATCCGGTACCGTTACTCCGCACCAACAATGCTCAGCAGCAGCAGGGTCACCGCTAATGGCCACAGCGAGACCGCCGCTGCCCTCCCCCGCCCCGTGACGCAACTCCCTCCGGAGACGGGGCCGGAGGTGACGTCCCCGGAAGTAGGCGCGCGGGGGCCGGAGGTGACGTCCCCGGAAGTAGCCGCGCGCGGGGGCGCGCTTTGGTTCGCGTCTGGCTGGGGGGGCGGTGGGTTGGTACCGGAGCGGGAACGGCGCGCCGAGCGCTCAGGTGGCGGAGGAGGGAGGAGGGGCTGAGAGGGAGAGGGGGCGGGGGCGGGGGCTGCGCCAGGGACTGCCCCGCCCCCCGGCACAGGGTCGCTTCCGCTCTCAGCCCGCGGGAGGGCCGAGATACCCGCTGTATCGCGGCCCCGGTCCGGCTCAGGCCGATGTCCCGCCGCTCCTTTCCTGAGAGGACAAACGGAACGAACGGCCGCGCTGCGGCGCCCGCAGAAGCCTTCGTCCGCTCCCACGAGGAGGGCTGAGGGCCTCCTGAGCGCCCGGAGCGGCTCCCGAGTCTCGTGAGAGCAGTGCCAGGAGGTGCCCCGCCCGCTGCTCCGTGCCCCCGGGCTCAGGCTGCGAGAGGGTTCCCGGCGGAGCGCTGTGAGGAATGGATGGCCGCGCTGCGGAGGGGCGAGGTGGCTGTGCAGGAGTGCTGCTGTGTGTGCCCTGCGCCTGCTGCAGGCGCGGCCGTCCGTGTCCTTCCCTCGTATCTGAGTTCAGAACGCTGTGTAGAAACACGAAAGAGGACAGAAATGCGTCTTTAATTAAGACTTGGCGTTATTTTCTACTGGTATACGTTTAAAGCACTTCGGCCTTTTCTGGCCATGAGATGCTCTTTGAAGTAGTGCTGTGTGGGGCTAAGCCATGCCAGCTGCAGTGCTGTGTTAGCTGCGGTGCTCTAAAGCTTTTTGCTTCCACCCTCCCTGGCATGTTCATGCTAAGTTTTCTCTCCTTAAAAAAAAGAAAAAAGTGCTTGTACTATTTTATTTTAACCAAAGTTACTGTCATTTACAGTGAGTTTGGGGGAAGCAGTTTTTCCCCCTTTCTCCACCGCTTTCTGGTATGATGAGTGAATGAGTTGGCGACCTGCAAGCAAGACACGGTTGTTTAATCTCTTGCCAGACATCCCTCCCTGGAAGGTGTACAGGTCTCTGCGTTTAAAGTCTCAGCAGCCAAATAACTTGTGGTTTGTTTTATTTCTAATGGAGGTGTGAGAAAGTTCTGGGTTCAACTGAAGTTGCTGATGAAGAAACACAGTTATGATTTTTCGGTGATGACTTCTGCATTGGGATCCCAGAGCCACTGGAGAGGGAACAAATGGGAAACTGAGGGTGATATTGGGGTCCCAGAGCTTCTTGCACAGGGTCCAAGGGGACATGGGGGCACTGAACCACCGGGAGGGAACAATGAGGAGATGCTGTGTGTACCAAAGACGCCAAGAGATATCAGGAGAGCATGGGAGGAATTTTGGGTCCCATTAGAGTGATATAAAGGAGGCATCCCATAGAGGTTAGGGGCTCTTAGGGGTACTGATTTTTTGAGGGAGTGGTCTTATTGGGGTTGGGAGGGTTGGAGGTCTCCCATTGGGACTGGGGACTCCAAGGGCTCCTATTCTGATTTTATTTATTTATTTATTTGTTTGGAGGGGGTCTTATTGAGGTTGGAAAGTTTGGGGAATCCCATTGTGTTCTCTCTGGGCTTTTTTTCTTCTTTTTTTTTTCTTTTCTTTTTTTAATTTTTTTTTTTCTTTTTTTTTATTGGGGGAAGTGCTAAAGGGATTGGGAGGGTCTGTGGGTTCCCATAGTTTTGCCTTTTTTCAGGTGGGCTTATTGTATTTGGGAGGATGTGCAGAATCTTACTGGCACTGCGGAATTTTGGAAGGGTCACAGGCATCCCATGCAGATTGAGGGGTCCTGTGGGATGTGAGGGGATCCCCTCAGTGTTGGGGACTCCTTAGGGGTGCTGTCTTTTTCGGGGAGCCCCACAGGAGTTGGGGTCCCAGGGTTTGCAGCGACCCCTGCAGACCTGCAGACTGGAGCTCCTTATCCAGCCTTTCTGTCTTGTCTCCTTGGCAGCCCCTCAAGACCCCTCAGTGGCACTTCAGTGACTCCAGGAGCCCCTGGCCTGTGGCAGGATGTAACAGGACCACTCTTGGACCACGCTTGTTGATTTTGGTGGCTGGGGGCCGTCACCTTCCTGCAAGGTCTGGAGGTCTCCAGTTTCATCCCATTTCAACAGGGGGGACATGTGGTGATGCACATAGGAGGTGACAAGGACATGACCATGATGGCCTTGGAGATACCAGGACACCCATGGAAATTCCCTTTTGTTGCTATGGTAGCTTTGGGGATCTCAGAACCAAAAATGGGGACACCAGGAGCTACCCATGGGGACACCAGGACCCTTTGTCTGGTTGAGATGTCTTTGGGAACACCAGGAACCCTCATGGGCCCACTGGGAAGCGACATGGAAGGGACACAGCAGAAGTGACATATAGGGACGTAAAAGGGATGTCAAAGGGACACAGTAGAAGGTGATACGTAGGAACCTGGAGAGGAACAGGAGGATAGACATAAGAAGGGGACACAGGATGAGATGTGTGAGGATCCTGCTGACATAGGATATCCTGCTGACATTAGGGATAAAGTGACACGGAGCCAGAACATCGTCATGTGATAACATTTTTATAAAACAAAACCATTTTTATAAAACAAAATAATTTTTATAAAACAAAACTGTTTTCCCATTTTTATCAGGAATCGGTGGCATCCCTGTCCCTGGAGGTGTTGAGGGAATGCATGGAGGTGACACTGAGATGACATTTTGTGACAGCCCTCACTCTGATGGTGGTTGGAATGGCGGTCCTGAAGGCCCCATCTGCCGTCTCCATGACCTCAAGGTGGTGTTGGTACCACTGGTCCCTGATGCATGTGTTTGTCCCCTAGCACAGCCCCGGTGGCAGCAGCCCAGGGAGGGCGTTGGTGGCCTCTTGGCAGCGCTGGGTGACCTTGGTGGCCTCAGTGACACTGAAGGTGGCCAGCAGGCTCCGAACACCCCGCAGTGTCCCCAAGAGGTGTTCCTGGGTCAGGCGGGCGCTGGCATCCCACAGCGCCTCGGCCACCACCACTATCTCTGCTAGCTCCTTGGGGATACCTATGTCCCCCTTAGTGGCCTTGGGGACATCAGGGCCATCATCTCCAGTAGTGACACCCACCATGGCCTTGATGTCCTTGAGATAGTGCTCCACATGACTATAGTAGTTATAGGCCCCCATACAGGCGGCTACCAACTGCACCAGGAGCCCATGGGCCACTGCTGCATGTTGTCCCCTCTCCTTGGCTGCCACTGCTGCCACCACCGCCGCTGCCACCTCCTCGGTAGCCTTGGTGGCTGCCTGCAGCCCTTCCCTGGCCTCTGCCACCCGCATATCATGGGCTGCCACCACCTCTGTGACCTCAGCCACCTCTGAGGACAAAGGCACCACTCTGGTGGCAGCTATCAACCCTTTGTGTGCTTTGTCCTCCCGTGTCATCGCTTCCACCAAGTGGCCCTTGGTGGCCTCAGTGGCGGTCTTGGCAGTGGCCACATTCCCACAGGCATCCCTCAGGCATGCAGCATCCTCCCGCAGCTCAGCCCAGATGTCCTTCACTGTGATCACTGCCTTCTGCCAAGAGTCAGTGATGGCTGTAGGGGCACCGGGCTGTTCCTTGGATGCCCCCAGGGCGCGTCGGAGGCGGGTGGCATCACCATCTGGGTGCACCATGGCTCTGCGCACACCAGAGCTGAAGGTCAGCAGCCTGGCCCGCAGTGAGCCCATGTTCCCTTGCAGGGAGATGTCACCAGGGATGGCCCCCAACTTGCCCAAGGTGGCCACTACAGTCACCAGGGGCTGCAGCAGCTCTGGGGACACCTGTGGATGAGAACATGTGAGTGGTGGTCCTCCCAAGACCTCTGTATTGTCTCTGCTGTATCCCCACCAGGTCCCTACCAGGTCCATCTTCCTGATGATAGCCCCAAGCCTTGTCTCCTGGTCCCCATGTCTCCAGGTCATGGCCAGCCACCCCATCCTCTCTGGTCCCTCCCCACTATGCTGCCACCATCAGCTGCTGTCCCCTCAGTCACCATCCCTGTCCCCTCACCACTTCCTGTCTCCTTGCCCCCTTTGCCGCTCCCTGTCCCCTGGTCCCCTCTGCCACTCCCTGTCCCCTGTCCTCCCCTCCCTGCTGTCACTTCCCAACCTGTCCCCTTGTCCGGTCAGCCACCTCCTGTCCCTTGTCCCTTTCTGCCACCCCTTGTTCCCTCTGCCACTGCCTGCCCCATGTCCCCCTGTCTCCCCTTCTGTCACCCCCTGACCCCTTGTCCCCCCACCGTCCCCTGTCCCCACCCCCAGGACAGCTCCACACTCTGCCCCACCTCAGAGGGGCCGATGGCCTTGGTGATATCCTGTGTCCACATGGGTGGTGGCAGTGAGGCGACAAATGCCGGTCCCAAGGTCGTTGCTTTCAGGCTGGATTGCACAGAAAACCCAAACTCCAACAAATTAATGCAGTTAGCAGCAATTAGTGCTATAGCAGAAAATATATAGTAATAAGTACTAAAACAGATTACTAAAACAGCTTATTTTGAGGCAATTTTCTATAAAAGGGGGAAAATATCGTTAAATCTGAGGCTGGGGACCTATGGGTCCATCCCTGTGGATACTCGGAGTGGGGATTCAGCCGACCTCGGTAACAGTGAAAAGAAGGAAAGCGAATCCAAAACGGGGCTGGGCGCTGCCGCAGGGAATTGCAAAGGGAAAGGAAAGCTTCCTGCAGAGCCAGAGGACGATTGGCTGGAAACATGTGATGTGGGAGCATGCTGGGTTCATTTCCGTTTCTGATTTTCTGGGAGATAGATTCTCCTTTTTCCAGAGGTTTTTCCTCATTTTGAGGGTTATTTTTCCACTTTTCCTCATCTCCTGACCACCCACCACCCCCAGTGTCCCCTGATGTCCCCAATAGCTCCTGATGTTCCCCAGACACCCAGGATGTCCTCAGCTTTTCCTCATCACAACTTCAATGGTGACTCTAATTTTGTCCTAACACCTCCCTAGTGCCCCAATGCTGTCCCAGCATGCCCCCACAGTGTCCCCCATTACTTGGGGGTATTCTTGGGGACAATCTCGAGATCTTTAGCGGGAACATTTAGGGGCATTGCCCCTTCTGCCATCCCCATGTAGCCTCCTCCAACACTTCCCTAACGGTGGAAGCAGCATCAGTGGCTTTTCTGGCCTTGGTGGCACTGGTGGTGTTGGTGGCAGTAGTCCAGGATGGGTGTGCTAGTGGGACTTTTTATGATACTGATGGTTGACGATGGTAGCCAGGTGGCCCTTGGATTTTTCCACAGCCCACTGGGCCACCTGGCTGAGGATGATGACAATGGCCAGGCAAGGTGGCTTTCCCGTGTCACCCTCAGCACATCCTACACCATGTCCAGGAGACACTGGAGGGACACTTGGGTATCAAAGGGGATGGAGATTCCATTACCTGGTGTCCTCAATCCCTTCTGGTGTCCCTTATTCATTCCCAGTGTCCCCATCCTCTTTCATTGTTCCGTGTCTCCTTCCAATGTCCCCATCCCCTCCCAGTGTCCCCTCATCCCCTCCAATTGTCCCCGTTCTCTCTCAATGTCCCCATCTTCTCCCATTGTCCCCTGGTCCATACTGGTTGGCTCTATAGTGGTCTGTTCTGGTCAGTGTGGGCTCCTTCGTGCTCTGTACTGCTTCCTACAGGCCTACAGTGGTTCTTACCAGTCCATACTGGTCCTTGCTGGTCTAGTCTGGTTAAGGAAGGGGAAAGACTACAGTGTCCCCTACCAGTATGTACTGGACACTACTGGCTTATGGTAGTTTCTACTAATCCCTACTGGTTTTCAGTGGTCTAAACTGGTCTGTAGAATACCCTTGTGGTCCATACAAGTCTATATTGGTCAGAGAAGGGCTTCCTGCTGCTCTGTACTTGTCCCTAGTGGCCCGAACTGGTGATTACTAGCCTGAACTGGTGCCTACTGGTCTGAACTGGTGTCTACCAGCTGGTACTGGTCCCTACCATCCTGGACTGGTCCCCACTGGCTGGAACTGGTCCCTGCTGGACTGAACTGGTGCCTACAGGACTGTAGAATTCTCTGCCATTGGTGATTCAAGTAGACCTTTAAGGCTCCCTACTTGATTTTATTGATTTCTACTGATCTGCAGCCTTACTCATTTCTACTTGTTCCTACTGGTTCTTACTGATCTGTACTCATGCAGCAGAGCACAGAGGAGCAGCAGCCCCGTGGTGGTGTTTCACAGAACTCCCAGGAGCCATTGGTGCTGTTGGTTCTGTCCTGGCTCCTACTCCAGCTCTTTGGCACCAATGGTGGAGATCTCCAAGGTTTGGTAGAGCCTTCTGGCCTGCAACTCCTGCACTGGTATCAGCTCCATCACCTCCATCAACACCAGCACCAACCTGGCCTTGAGCCCTTTCAATGGTACCTCAGCCATCACCACTGCTGTCTTGGCCTCCTGCATTACTGCTGCCATCATTCCTGGTGTCTCCAAGGCCTCTGCTAGTTCCACCAGCACCCGTGTGGATGCTGACAAGGCTGAGGCTCTCGCTGAGGTTATCTGGGGCAAGGCCATCCTGCAGGGATTCAAAGAGTCAGGGCAGGGGAACATGCACTGAGGACCTGGGTGACCAGATGGAGACATGAATGGCTGGTTTGGGACACTTCCTAAGGAGGCAGTTATCTGGCTGAGGATACCTTTTGGGGACCCAAGTATCTGGGTTGGGGATACTTCTCAAGTATCTAGGTGTTTGGTTGGGGATATCTCAGGGGGCCCCATGTATCCATGTGGGGATGTCTCTTTGGAGACCCAGCTATCTGGCTGGGAACAATTCCTGGGGACCCAGGGGATCAGAGGGAAACAACCCCAGAAAAAAAAGACCTAAGTATCTGAGAGGGTCCAGAAGGTGACACCTCCCCAAGGTTGCAGGTGGGGACACCACTATGGTCCCCATGGAGCTGTCCCCATCTGCCACCTGTGCACGTGTCACCACTGGGACAACCTAGGAATGAGGCCCAGTGCACACTTCCCCTTGGGGACCCAGGTGTCCACAAAGGGTCATCTCCCCTTGGGGACCCAGGTTTCCATTTAGGGTCACCTCCTTCTGGGGAATCAGGTGTCCAGGTGGGGTCACCTCCCCTTTGGGACCCAAATGGTTGCAGTGTCGCCACTGCTGTCCCCATGGGTGCTACCATACTGCTACCATCCCTGTGGTGCCACCATGAGGTCCCCAAGCTCCCTGAGCTTGGGAAACCACAAACTTCCTCCTCTGCCACCTCATGGGGCTGCCACCATTGGAAGTCACTGCCTCAAGGACAATCCTGGGCCCCCACTGCAGGATCCCCATGTCCCCCAGCCCCCACCTGAGCCTGTGAGGACATCCCCAATTTGGTGGCACTGCCCCTGTCCCCTTCCACCCAGGACCCAGGTGACACGGGAGGACAAAAGCTGGGTCATCCCACACTTCACGCCACACCCCAATACCACTAATAAAAAATACCTGACTTAACGGTAACAAAACTTTGCTGTTAAGTTTCTGTGCTTGGTGGGGGACCTCACTGGGGAAATGCGGGGCATGTGGTGATCCATGTGGGATGCGCTGGGGACAAAGGGGACCCTGGAACACACTGGGGGCATTTGCTGACATCTTAGGGACACACAGCTGCTGTGATCAACAACTGGACCTAATATTTTCTGCGATTTTTCTTTTAATGGAGAAGACAAGTGACTGCACTGGTTCAAATGGGTGACCCAGCATGCTGCTGCTTGAGATTGGGCTACCCCGACTTAGGAATGCATGTCAGGGCTTGCACCCACCCCTGGGTCAGTAGCGTTGTTTTTACTTTAACTTCAGGTGTATTACTGGCTCACTGCTTGTAATGCAGAGCATATGGCTGGCAGCTATCTCCTTGTCATACTCTATTGTTCTTCTGCTCCATACCAGACCTGGGACCAAAAACCTATTGAGAGCTAACAGAGCCTTGTCGCCACAGTCCCCACCCAAATTCATCTTGAATCACATGCACTTCTATCTCGGGAAGCGTTGGTGTCAAAAAGGCCTCATGCCTGTACCAGTTTAACTGCTCGATTCACCTGCTGAAAGGCACCTAGTTGTTGTTGACCTCAATCCCACTGAGCTGAGAATTTGCTCTATCAGTGCTCATTGTATCTGTTGTAGTTTCCATGGAAATAAATAGGAGACATTACTTTCAGAGGTACGTGCTTACTGATGTGGAGGATACAGTTGCTTAACCTTATGGATATGTATGCAGTGTCTGTTTGTTCAGTATTAACAAGGCAGAGTAAAGCAGTGCTGGATGCATGAAAACCTTGCACAAATAGCAGGAGGTGCCTGTATGGAAAAGAAACCATGTCTCCACTCTAAACACACATCCTGAGTGTTTCCCACCTTGACTGTTACATTTCAGGTAACACTGTCACCATCAGACCATGTTAAAATGTGATCTCCATCATGTCTATGAGTTCCCTTTCATTTGTGCTATTAGCTTGCTGAAAAGGACGAAGTTAGAGGAGAGTGTCCAGGAGAAGAGCAAGGCATGAGAGGAGATGCCTGGTGTCACAGAAGTGACACGGGACATTGTGTGGCCATGGAACAAACAGGACCCAAGGTGGGATTTACGAAGTTCTTCTCTAGTTTCACATGAGACCCCTCCTCCACCACGGAAAGGAGCAGGTGGGGGCCCTCCCACTGCAATGTGCAGCAACCCGCTGTGCAGAGACACCCAATGTGGCAGCGGTACACCCATCTGACCATGGCAGTCACTGCCCCTCACGTCTATGCTACACATGCACCCTACAAACAGTACTAACTACTAATGCATGTAATTTCTGTGAGGAAGAACTGAAAGAGGAAAATGAGCTTTTTAAAGCTCATATCAGACAACTGGAAAACAAAATTACATTTCTGACAGGGCAAACTGCCCCATCTTCAAATGGTATTTACCCTCTAAAATGAAGAGCTATGTTATTAGAGGAGGTAAAGGACTCAGATCAATAGGATCCTCAGATCCTGCTTGAATCAAAAAATACAGGGAAAATCAATACAATAAAAGCCCCACAAGAAGATCTGGAAACCTCAGATCCTCTAGAAATAAGACCAGTAATTACCTCAAAAACCAAGACAGTTCAGGATAGACCAGTTCGGGTTGCCTCCTGCCCACACCACATTGTGTGCATACATGGCTGCTGAAGTAATGGAGGTGTTAGCAGGCATTCTTTATTCTCAGCTCCAGATGCATGAGGAGATCCTTCCACCTCATCATGTATACAAAAGACCTTCAGCTAACCTAACACAACTTGTGTTACATATGCAAAGACTTTCCTGGGCAGTACATATGTATTCAGTACTTCCCCTAACACCATTAACATTGGCTTCCGCCTCCTTGCACAGCTCCGTCTCTTTGTGGCAGTGGTCCTGAGACCCTCTGGATGAAGTCAGTGGTCTTCCTCACTGCGACCATTGCTTGGACCCAGTCTTCACTCATGCTCAGTCAGCTCTGTGCCTTGATAGCCAGACTCACTTCCACAGAGTTGGCTGACTCCTTATCCGCCTGGTATCCAGGGGCCAGTACATCATCCATTCACTAAATTAACGTATTGGTCCTTAGGCTTATATATCCATCCCAATTGGTAATCCAACCTGTTTCACTATCTGTCGCAGGACTCCTCCTGCTTTCTAAGCAAACTACAGGGCTGCCCATCCACTGCTTAGCAGTATCACTGCATCTTGTATCAATGCCTAGAGGACGAGGGATTTGGGCCTGGAGAGATGTACTGAGAACCGCCATTCCCCGGATGTGGATCCTGTAAAAGGTCGCTTTGGCATAAGTCTCGCCAACAGCGCTTGCGCTGCACCAAGCGTTTTTTCCACAGACAAGCTCCGTCCGTCTGCGATGCAAACGCACCGCCTGTACCAGCAGCGTTCCCGCATCCAATATGGCTCCTCAATGGCTTCACTCACTCTTCAGCGCCGCCCTCCAGCCCGGCAGCACACCTCCCCACTAGTCCGGACTTGCCGTGCCCTTTCTCAAAATGGCGGCTGCCGGCTTCCCCCACGGCTGTCCGGCGAGGGCTGAGACGCCTTTCCCTCGAGTAAAATGGCGGCGAGGAGGGCTCGCGCCCCGCCCCTCCCAGGTGACGGCCAGGTCGCGCGGTCACGTGGCGGGATGTGAGGGGTCGGAGCGGTGCCCATCTTATGTCTGCCCTTCGTGGCTCTGCCGTGCGCTCGGTTCCCGCTCGGCTCCACATGGTGTCCGCGGCCGGTGGGCTGGAATCGGCGGGGCCGGTGGGCGCAGGGCTCCTCGGAGCTGCGGTGGCATCGAGCTCCCGGGGCTGCTGCTGGGGCGGGGAAGCCCGTTGTGGGGGCTGGAGGTATTGCGGGCTGCAGCCCTGCTCTGGGGGCGTCTCTCCCCGCCTGAGATCCCCTTTGGACGTGATGGCTGTGCCCTGCTGCTCCGCGCTCTGCTTCCGTGCGCAGCTTGTGACCGTCGTGTGTTGGGATGCCCGTGGTACGTTCAGTCTGACTCGGGGTGAGGCAAGCTGCATCAATTGTAAAACATCTGTTTAAGGTTGCTTTTTGGACTTAGCACTTGAGCATTGTAGAAAAATAGTAAAAGTAATAGTTGGGATTAATACATACAAGTTCCTAGCTCTGCACGAGAGTTCGGATCCCGCTGTGAAAAGTTCTATGTTACAAGTATTAGTTTTCTGAAGGAATCAATAGGAACTTGCTAAAAGAAAATCCAGTTGTTGAGAGCATGGTTTCTGAAGAATTCCCAATGTTCTGTTTCACCCAAACCTCTAAAAGCATTATGAGCTATGTGGGAGGAGGCTTTGCTTGATTTTTCTCCTTGCATCTAATGTCAATCTGCTTGTATGGTAGAGATGGAAAAGGATATGTGTAGAAGATTAAAACAAAAGATGGCACAAGGAAAAACGGAAAATCGGGGAATATTTGTGTTATTTAAAAAAGAGGGGAAAAAAACCTTTCAGGCCAAGAAACTATTGTCTATGTAGATGTAGGCTTCTCTAAAAAGAGAAGTTCATAAGTCATTCATAAGTTTGTTACTAAATTTTACTATTCTTTTCTTTTTGCTTTTTATTGCTTGCCAAAATTATACTTGGGTCATTCCATGGAGGAGGCCATTCCCTTTGTCCTTAGTAAAATAGTGGTTTGTTGTAAATTCTGACTTGAGCATCTCTAAAATGACCGGTTGCTGAAAGAACACCCTAGGAGTAGGATGAATTGCGTGTGCTTAAATTCTGCGTTCTGTCTGCCAGTCAAATGCAAGGGAAGCAGGGTAGTGGACCAAGGACCTGTTTATTTTCCAGTATGGCAATTTTTCTTTTCTTGTAACCTGCAGACTACAGAAAAAGTGACTTCTGATCCATGCGTATGCTCTTTAATATAAGCAGTTTGACCCTTTACATCAAAGAACTAATTATCTATGAAGGTTATAGGTTTAATCATTTGATTATTATTATTTTCTTTGAAAGAAAGCGATAAATCTGACTTCAAAAACATTAAAAACCCTTTGATGTTCCTCATAAAAATTATCTTATGCTTGATGAGCTTTTCAATGTTTAATTTAGCATAATCAATTTAACATGTAGAGAGTGAGGCAAAATGTCACTAACTGTGCAAGAGTCAGTAAAACTGACAACAGACCGATGTTCTACGTATCTTGCCCAGTCCTTTGGAAGTAGAATTTCTTTTAGTGTCTCATCCTACCTGTTATGGGTGTTTTAAAAAAAGTAATTAAAAAAAAAAAAAAAAAAAGTATTGAATTTCTAGCATCCTCAAAATTATATTCTGTTTCACAGTTATTGTCATTAGTCTGATTTCTTTCTCTCTTTCTCTTTTCCCTAGCCAAATTTTGATGCCTCTTTCTACATTCTCCAAGTAGAGGTTGTAGGTGATGGATAACCAACAGGTATTGCAATCTGCAGGATTTAGCTTCTCATTGCAGTGATGCTGGAAGTAACGTGTCCTACACAGTTCTCTTCAGTTGAGATGTGAAGATGTGTGTTCTGTAGTTCTGCTGAAGTTGCACAGAAATATCAAAGCTGATGTCTGCAGACTTATAAGAGAAATTTACACTCTCATTCTGAAGATGGTGCTTTCTTTCTTTTGCCCCTTTGATATGGAAATGTATCATATGGTAAAAATGTTTCATTCAAGAGCAAATGAGTTTTCTGCAGAGTATTTTTGAAGTACTGCTTTTGCAAAGCAGACCATATGTAAGTTGTGTTGGGCCAGGTGGTGTATGCCTGAAAACATGGACGTGTTTTTCAGAAAGCTGATGAGAAGCAATTACACTTCTTTAGTTTAATGAGGATTTCATTTTTACTGTGATAAAGATCTGAGAAGAAGAACTAGATTGCAATTCATACTACTACTTTTTTTTTCCTCTCTTATTCCTTCTCCCCCTCTTTGTCAGCATTTAGACATGATGATGTCTATAAATCATTTCCATGTGATTTTAAAGGGGATTATAAACAGGAGGGGAATCAACTTTTTAGTCTGATAGGTAGTGATAGGACAAGGGGAAATGGTTTTAAGCTGAAGGAGGGAAGGTTTAGATTAGACAGATTAGAAGATCTTTACGGAGAGAGCAGTGAGGTGCTGGAACGGGTTGTCCAGGTAGGTTGTGGATGCTCTGTCCCTGCAGGTGTTCAAGGCCAGGTTGGATGGAGCCCTGGGCAACCTATCTAGTAACCAGACCTGGAGGTTGGTGGCCCTGCCCATGGCAGGGGGGTTGGAACTTGGTGATCCTTAGTGTCCCTTCCAACTCCAAACATTTATCATTTCTAGGAATAGAAAATGCCCAACAGCTAATCACATTCTGATGCATAAAAGAGGACATAGTCCCTTTTCAAAAAAGCAAAACCAACTCCTCTCTCCCTTCCAAAAACAAAACAAAACAAAAACAAAAACAAAAAAAAAACAAACATTGACACTTAGTTAATATGCTGATATTGAAAAGTTGCAGTTTTGCTTGTTCCTTTCACTACTTACTCATTTTGCTTTGAAGTACAGAGCAAAGGATGTGTGAACTGTGTTGGAGCTGTGTGCCTGCTTGCATACTGTGGCAGTGAGCAGTGCAGAGAACTTTATAATGTGCAACAGCTCGTGACACAGAAGATAACTGTAAACTGCTTGTCTGTTTCCTTCCTAGATGGCACCAGGCCCTCCCATATGCTCTATGAAAATAATGGGAATGAATTCCAAGGCTGTGAGTGGTGGCTGATGAGAGAAGCTAAATAGAAGAACCTCGAAATTAAACTGATTGGTAAACTAATCCAAGCCTTTGGATTTATATGCTTTTTCTTTTTCTGATATGTCTGACTCTTAGTTATTTTGATGGACCAGTGTTTTTATGTTGCACTGCACGAGGTACAGAATCTCTAGGATTTGGTGCGCTTACATTGATGCTTCTCTCAAACAGACTGGTTTTGCTTTTCTGTTGGTACATTATGTTCTGGACAGTGATTTTCTACTGATTTGCTTGTGTCAAGTGACATTAATGCTTAGACTTAATCACAGTGGTGAATATAAATGATTTATTGTGAGGGCTGCATTTCTGAATAATAAAGAGTTCACTGTCCACAGTAAAGCTTCTGAAGTTATGGTTCCCATCCTGTTAAGAAAGTCTGACCTTTCTGCTGTAATATGGGAAGGTATATACAATGTACACCTATTCTGGAGTGTTTCCCTTTGTGTTGCTGACTATTTTTTGTCAGTGTCAGTCTTGCACTCTGGGGAGACGTGGATGCTTGAGAAATTGAACTTGGAGAGGGGGTGGGGTGGGAGGTGTGTACTTGACAGGAGTTTTTGCTTTGCTATGCTTTTAGAGTAGAATGTAAGTTCTATGTATGAAATATTTAAATAATGTCTTGTTTCTGTGTTATTGACATTCCCTATGACCATGTCTTGAAGTGAAATAATGGAGAAAAACATTGTCTAACAAGCTGTAGAGCCAGTGTTAATAATATGTACTGTGTAACAAGGCTAACCGTTGTAGAGAGCTCTCACAGCATGAATGTTCTTTTCAGCAAGGCTACAGGCAGCAGGCTTAAGAATGAGATAAACAAGTGTCTGCCTTGAATTTTCATACAGAATTTTTCCCTGGACGGCTGATGAAGTCAGAACAATTTTCATTGGCAAACTAAAACTGTGGAGTTCAGTAATGACTGTGAAATATTTATTTACGTGTATATGTGATTACGTTTTGTTTCAACACATACTGATTTCTTGAAATGTTTTTTTAATTTTTGCTTAGTAGATATGGAGTGAAAGGACATTTCACAGGAAATGGATCAAGATATGTCTCTATTTTTTTTTCTCAGAAGTGAAAGTTTCTTTGTTATCACCTGTGATTTGCTTGTCTGATTTTTCTCTAGAACAGAGACCTTAATCCTGTGAGTACTGGTCTAGTGCTTGATGACTCTACCCATTGCAGAGGTTTGAAGTGAGATGATCTTCGAGGTCCTTTTCAATCCAGGCTGTTCTGATTCACTTACTGACCTCTTGTGGTAGTCGCAGGTATGAAACACTAACAGGATCAGACCCTTAGATTGTTTTTTTTAATCTGAAACTTTTATTTGAACCTTGTAAGTCAGTGTATGCTAAATATACTCAGAATTTTAATGGAAGCCGCAGTTGAATCATACAAATTCATCTTGTTTTTGGCTGGAAAATAGCTTATTTTTTAAGTCAAAGATCTAGAATTCCTTAAAATTCTCAAGTGAAGTTTCAGTGGATAAAATGGCCTTAAATTATTGATATACAGCTCCAGGTTTTTATTACATCTTCTGATTTATCTTTTCCATAAAGTAGGAGCTCTGTATTTTAACTGTGCAAAAGTCGATACCTCATTTAGAACATGAGTTGGAGAGAGATGGTATTTCACATTAGGTAATGCTAAGCTATCACTGTTTTCTTCCCTGCATGCCTCTCTTTGGAAGCTTTCTTCTGTTTGAGTTATGTCACGCTGAAGTGGAACCTTAGATATAAGTTCTATATTCATTTCCTTGTTGCTGTTTTGAGGCCGAGAAGCAATTGCAGTAAGAGAGTTAAGAAAGTAAATAAGAGTTAAAGTAAAGTAAGAGTTAAGTGTGAAGAAAACTGCTGATTCTTCCCCCCCCATGCACAGCTTAGCAGAAGTTGGATCCCTTCTGCTTCAAATTAGTCAGTCAGTGGCTATTAGAAAAGTTCTTTTAGTTTTTGTACTCTGTATAAAGGTCAGATTTGTCATTTGTCCTTGAAAACTTCTGTAGTTATTTCATTCAGTGATTAGTTTTAGCAGAATAATACAGAAAATTGTGTACAACAGTTAACTGTGACATGACATCCTAAGGGAGGGAAAAACATTGGCTGCAAGAAAACTTGAGTGTCATGGGCAGCCAGTTGTCAAAAATCCTCACAGTTTGGTATTTATGGAGCAAGGTGAGAGTTGGAGGTTCAGAGGAACAGGAGAAACTGATAATTTGCTCATTTTGAGAATGCATCTTTTCTTTGGATGAGCTGACTTTGTCTTTTATATGCTTCTTAATGGGGGTTTAGAACATGTCTAAGGCTTATATCCAGTTTGCTTTTAGCAGTGCACTGCCATGAGTTGTGAAATGTTGGTGAATCCCTGCTTGAGTTCAAATTCCACACCCTACCAGACTGAAAGCCACTTGGATCTGACTTGTCTATTCTTTGGACCTGCTGTTGAATAGATTTTTGTGCAGGAGAAACATGCCTTTGTCACTCGTGTTCTCTGACAAATGTTTAACAAGAGGAGTTTGCTTGCCGGCACTTCCTTTTCCAACACCAATTTTAGTATCGCTGTGTGCTGTCCAAAATGCTTAATTCTAGATACTGCCAGTAGGGGATCTATGTCTCCCCAGGTGATGAGTAAACCTCAGCACAGTACAGGCTGCCAGAGAGGATAAATTTCTGAACAATCCTCTTTTGGTGTCAATTAATTGTGAAGTCAGACTTTAATAGGGTGTGAAATGGAAATAGAGAGATGATACCAGATGCCTTCATTTGCATATGTTAATCAACACACCCAAACAACAGCAGCAAAAACTGGAGTCCTTCACAATGCTTGAAATGCTTCATGTTTGGCTGTAAACTTCAAAATAAATAAATAAATAAATAAAAATTCTGCTACTTTGTAAGTAGGTGGAAGGTCAATAGCATTTTCTAAACATGTACCAAAATGCCAACATCCTGTCAGAACCCTGAAGTATGTATTTCTGAAACACCGTATGTGGCTACAGAAACCCATCATTACACTGAATTAGTTTTCCTTTGAACAATAATTTGGAAAACAGTTACTTTTCCCTTTCTGAGCGCAGCCTGTGGTGCAGTGAATATCACACTGGAGTGGGCAGGTGTACTTGGTCTATCAGAGTGCTTATTTCCAAATATCTGTTGTTATTATAGTCACCAGGATGTAGCAGGTGTTGACTGCTACACTTAAGAGTTTTGCCTTTCTGGTGCCCAGCATAGAGATTCCACCTGTGACACAGGAGGAATGTCTTGCTGGTTGTAGGTGTGCAGGAAGAGGAGAAATGTGGCCTTTCCTAAATGCACCATTTCTGCTAGCAAGAAAACATGTTAACTGTTCTTTCAGAATGGAATGTTGTCTAAAAGGAGGTGAGCAATGATTTCATTTAATAGTGAGAGTTTAGGGAACAGTCAAACTTGCAGCTGGATAAAATCTGCTTTGTCAGTTGAGAGAAGAAGAACATTTTGGTTACTTATTGGTGTTTCTTTTCCTGCTAGGAGGACTGTAGCTATCTGATAGGAGCAGTGCAAACAAGTAGTATGACCGCTTTAAAAAGGTGAATGAAATTTGTAATCAGGTTTTTCTTACACTGGTGAGGTTTTTTTCAGTTCATTATGAATAATATGACCTACAAATAATAGATATGATCAATTAGTAAAGCACGATCATTCAGTAGTATAGAAAGCTATTCCTACACTCCTCTCCTGCGCTTTGCAAGGCATTTCAGCACACTGTTTGCCTTAGCCAATATGCTTCTTGCCTCAGATTCTTTTCATTGTCACTTTTTGTAATCTCTGTGCCAGTGGCAGACCAGTCTGCTGGGGGCACCAGTTCTGTGTCAGGAATTGCTTTCTGTCTATCAGAGAGGAGTGGGTTCTGGAGGGAGCTGGGACTTGCTGTTCAGATGGGCGAAGGGGCAGCAGGAGGGAGCGGTGGCTGGAAGGCTGTTGATTACCAGTTGCCCAGTTTTGCACAAAGTGAGGCTGTTGGCAAAGTGGCTTAAGCTGTAGCATTTAAAAGCGCCAACTTCTTTATTTCCTACTGTGTGTTTTCTTGGTGCACTGCAGTGCTGTGTATATAGGTACACAAGAAGCAATCTTGTCAATTCTGCAGCTTGTCATGGTTAAAAATGTAGCAACCAATAATACCTTCTGATAAGTTTCCCCAGAGAAGTGGCTGTATTTCCATGTAAGAAATAAATAAGGGGGCATGTAAAATGAATTAAAGTGTATTGCAACTGTGGACAGCTCGCAAGGAAAATGGGGAAAGTTGCACACAGGTGGTTTAACAGTTATAGAAGCTGGAGTGAGAAAGTTCTGTCATCTTCCTGCGTCATGGACTTTTCTTGTTGCAGATATAAATGAAGAAAGTGTGAGGAAAGAGAGTTGGCTTAAAATCTGTACTCTGCAGTATTACACTCAAAATACAAACTTGTGGGAAATTCCTAAAGTGCAGTATTAATGGAACAAGCCACTGCATTAACACTGCTGGATGCCCATGTGACAATTTGCTGTCATTTCTGTGCCAGCTCACTCCTGCAGCTGTCTGCATTCTGAGCACAGCAGCTGATGTGCTCAGGTGACCTCTTGCTTGCTCCTGGAAGCTGAGGCCATTCACAGTGAGCTGGCCACTTTCCTGGCTGGGCTAGGTTTCCCTGGTCAGCTTGGATTTGGCCAGGCTTCTGGGCAGTCATTGAAATAGCAGCATGAAGTTGTGCTGAGAAACTATCAGATGTTAAAATTTCTGTTTTAATCAGAGAGTTCAAAAGCACAGCTGTGCAAAGAGGGAGCTGATGGTGCTCCTTCCTTCAGTGGTGAAAGAAATGCCAGGCAATGGCAGATAGGCTAAAATAAGAACTGCGTGTATAGTTGGTGGTTCTTTGTACACAGGAGTGACTGCCGTGTACTGTGCTAGCAGGAGTGCTGGGAAGTGCTGCGTGGTGTGGTTGTGGTACTTCGGCTGCTGGCATTACCACACACACCTAGCAGAGAACCCCAAATTTTGGGCTAAGAGGAAGGAATGATCTCCTTGTTAGTGGTTACAGTGCTCATGCACTGAATGATAAAATCCTGTTGGTGTTGGTCACAGTGCAGACACCTCAGACAAACGAAGGTTTGTCAACATTCATCCATGTCTTTTGATATTACTTCTGCTTGTGACAGAGCATTCTTCCCTAGCAGAATTTTCAGTTCAAGCTAAAACTTCTCCAGTGATTTCTGCAAAACACTAGAATATTTTCTGCTTTCAAGGACTGCAGAATTTATTTTTCACACCAGTTAATATCAGTCACTAGGGGTAGATACAGCTAAAAAACAATGACTGAAGAATGATCATGAAGGTAGTTCAAGTTGAACTCAGATAGCTGAATTAGTCTCATTCATGGACAGAAAATCAAACTGAGAAAACAGAGCATCAGGCTGTTAACTAAATTTCTGCTAAACTTATCTTGATGTTGGTACCTAGAAAATAGCTTTTCTTTAGTGTTGAAAACTTACTGAAGTAAATTGAATTGACAGAATGTGTTTTTTTTTGTTTACCTTCACCATCAAGCCTTAAGATTACAGTAAACTTAATTCAAGTATATTACTGTTAACAAATAACAGTATATACCAACACAAATGTTAGGGTGATACATAAATTATCTCTACTGGAGGAAGGATTTAACAATGACCTGTAGGAAGGTACTTTTCTATCCACCTTTCAATAACTGAAATAAAATGCATACTAACTTTTCAACACAGACTAATGACAAATGATTCAGTCATATCAAATCTACTTGAGCCTTTATTTATGTTTCTTTCTTTTTCAAAATTGGCCTAGCTATAGGCTAACATTTTCTGATACCTGATGACATCTGAATTTCTAACCTTTAACTAGCTGTAGAGTATATTTGCTTCAGCTAATATAGCCAAGTTGCACATCTCTGTTCAAAAGCTGTTTAATTAAGGCAATGCTTTTGAAGGCAGTCCAGGTCTAGAGATTGGAGACAGCAGCTGAAGAAGACTTGTAGCCTGTTCCCAAGAACAGACTTTCACCAGTACAGTGGACCTCCAGACAGTTTGCCAAGCTTCAACTCACCACGAACGTGCAGGGAATTTCTCACACTGAACAGTTTGGAGGTAAATCAGCCCTGAGAATCAGTCACATAACTGTTTCAGAGAGCAGTGGAAGGATGCCGTTGTATATGCGTGAGAAAGAAGAGACAATGAAAAACACATGAGCCTTGAGAATTTTTTCCTACACTAGCAATACCCATCTGAAACTCTACTAGATGTTCACAGGAAGGTTTTGTAAATGTTCCTCTCCTGCCTGTTAATCAGCGTTGTGCAAGCCTACCCCTGTGTTCCCTACATGCGCTTCAGGCATAGGATGGCAGCCTCCAGTGCTGCGTTCCCCCTTGGATCAGGAGAAACCCCAGTGAAACCAAAGCCGGGGGCTGGCAGCACCTAAGGAGACCACAGAGCACAGGATATCTCCAGCTGATATTCACAGTTCATGTCCTGAAAGGTTTCTCCTTTTGTTCTGCAGGTGGTGAGTGCTGCAGATGGGGCAGTGGCAGTCGAAGACAGCGTGGTGGTGGCAGCAGGAGCTGGTGAGGGTGCTGTTCCCACTGAACAGGAGGCTGCTGCTGAAGATGACAAACCTCAGGGAGAAGGAAAGTAGGTTGATGTTTCTCAGGTACCTCATGTTGTTGTGTGGGGGAGCATTAGAGGAATCCAGCCAGATCCAGCAGCTCCCAGCATAGGCAAAGCTGATGCAGCTCCATGCCCTAGAGTCCAACAAGCAGTGAGGATGAGCATGTATTCTCAGTCGATGCACACACACAGCACACATAGACATGATATTTGTGCATACACAGACAGCCATGGAAATCATAGACAGACACATGGGGTACTCACACAAACACAAGCATTACCAGCAGCCTCATCACATTCACCTCTCTGGCTGAGCAGGGTAGATATCTACTAGAGACAATATATATGTTTTTATATACATGCTGATGTCACTCAAGTCCACTCACCTGAGTGTCTCCAGTGGCTGGACCTGGATCTCTCATGTAGCTGGCAGATGGGCACACAGGCCCTCCAATCCATGATCTGACCCTAGTGCATACACGGGCAAGAAAAATAGACAGCTCTCACCCTGGTGAAGGGTTAGCAAGCAACTTAATGAGAAAATAGGACAGACCACACTCATCAGGTGCAGGACATAGCCAGATAATCATTTGAACTATCCACTACCTATATGCAACCAGCCCATTTATCCTGTTATCTATGCCTTTGTTGTCCCACACTTGTTCCTCCCCAAATCACCTCAATCCACCCACTGCTTTTGGCTTCTCCCTTAAACATCCCATAGTAAGTCTTGTACAGTAATGTGTCCCATGGCTCTTGGCTACAACCTTTCTCAGTCCTGAAGATGCTTTAAGGTATGATGGATTTAACACCTGGACACTGGGACAGCCCTGAAAGAGGTCCAGGTCACTTCTGCTTTCACACCTTGTGTTCCTCTAAGCTCTTAGAACTTCTACTTTTCTGCACAATTATTGTTCTCTGCCCTGATGTAAGAATCCCACCTTCAGCAGAAGAAACATGTTTTTCCACTTGAAATAAAGTAATAAATACTCTTGTGGTGCTTTTGTTGTATTTTATTTCTTTTCCTAGGAAAAGGTCAGCAGCATCCCTTCAGTAATAATAGAGCCAGTATTGAACAATGAAGGGGAAGGAGAAGAACATGATGTCATTGTGAATGAGTCCAAAGATGCTGCAGCAGAGATGGGCACTCAGGGCACTGACAGTGAAACTTCCCAAGTTGGAAGTGAGCAGAAACCAACTGAAGAAATCCAGACTGCACCTTCTCAAGATCAGCTTGCATCAGCAGGAGACACAGCTTCTGACATGCCACCGGGCTTTCTCTTTAAGGTCTGCTTGTTTGTTTTTCTTTTAGACATCTTTTCAGATCTAGCTTCTGTGGATGTGTCTGAAAATTGAGTTGGTTATTATGTTGGTTTCTTGAGGCCAAAGGATGCCAAGTTTCACAGTCACATGCTTGCATGTGCATACACTCACCCAACCGTTGGTTGTGTTTTTTCTCCATACATGAATTTTGCGAAATATGTTTTCTGCACTTGGATTTTGTTGGTTATATCCCTTTGTAGCTGTAAGAATCATTAAAGTTTTCCTTTCATCTCACCAAATCAATACTGACAGTGAATCTTTTAAGTAAAATTCCATCGCCAGTGATTTAGTCAGCAGTATTATATGATCGTTTGCTAGCAATACCAAAAAGACATTTTTCTGGCCTGAGAATCTGTAGAGGAAGTTCCAGCCCTATTGAAATCTATCGGACTTCAACAATTCACTGTAGTGAGGTTGAAGTGTAATTTTATGTCCTTAGTATTACCATACTTACAAACTGTTAGGGTATTCAGACAGAAAAGTTTAATGAAGCTTGAGGGAAATTCTCTCCTTGGCTAGTAAGACTCACAGAGATTCCTGGTTCACAAGGTTCTTTTCACTTCAGAATCACTGAGCAGGAGAAATGCTCCTTGAGGATAGATGAATTTGCATACTTCAGACTAATTAGTCCTATAGCACTCCATAAATATGCCATTCTTTCTGATCCATTTTCATTGGTCAATATTTTCACCAAACAGTGAGATTAACATTAAGGTTTGAGTGACCAGTATTGTGCAGTTTTGATGCAGACATGCTGCCACAGTTCATCTTTTGTTTTTTGTCACGCTTCCTTGAATCAAACATAAAGAAGAAGCAGCAGACTATGTGACTGCCGTCTGGTTCCCAATGCTGTATTATTTCATTATTGCAGAGTTACCACGGAACTGTCTATGCCTTTGAGAAAATTAGGATAGTATGTCTCTTAAGGAGGAAGAGCTACTTAGTTAAAATGATCTGTTCACGACAGTGTACTAACCCCGCAAATGTTTTAATAATCACCTCTTTGAAAGAGAGATATTTTTGGCATTCCTATCTGCCAGTAAATGGGAGTTCTTTCCAGGACAAACAGGAGCTATGGTTCCCATTATTAACTTCTTTTATCTTATATTGAAACTGGTGCTGTACCTCTCACTCTAATTTCCAGAGATGTTTACACCAATAATAGTATCTAGCAGAGCATAAGAAAGAGCCTGAAATAGCATTTCTTGTGATTCTTTTCCAAGCTTATTAGCAAAATCCTGTCATCCTTCTCCTCAGGTCTAGTAATGATAGTGGGAAATGAAAGCAAGTTCCTTGCACGGTAGGAATAATGTAACAGGACAGGACTTGTCCGAGAGGCAGCACTTGTGGGATTCTGCAACCTTGGGAAAGGATGTTTGGTTTCTTTCAGGAAGATTTACTGAAATTATACCTGTTTCATAAACTATAAATAGAAACTTTGTTGTGAACATTAACAACTTCAATGTACGTATCTATGGCCATATATTTCCATAAAGAAAGAAGTGAAAGAGTACATTTTTCTTTTTTCACAATGTCTCTATTTTGATCATTTCTGTATATTTGGTATTTCCTTTAGATTGAAGTTCTGCATGATTTTTGGCAGCAAAAAATGATGAGCTTAATTTAAAATGAGGGGATATTGTACTAGTAATTCCTTCTGAGACCACAGCTGATAGGTAATAACATGATTATTTCTTTTGTTAATGTTTCCCTTTGTCTCAGTTTTCTTCTCAGTGTTTATAGTTAATTTGAAATGTTGATTCAAAACGTCTTTACTGTTAGAAAACACCAACATTCTTAATTTGTCCTTTTACTTGGTTTAATTTGTGACCAAACAGCACAGTTAACTAAGCTAAAGTCCCATGTATATACTACCAACAGGATCCAACTTCAGTACATTTTTCTAGGGCACTTTTATGTTACTCTGTATTGGATTTTATACAGGCTTACATAGGTACATAGGCTTAATACAGAAGATGGCTTACAAATTGTGCATCCTGTTGCTATCATTTTGTTGTATCATTGAGTCAGAACTGATTGTATGTTTTCCACATGTTCAGAGTTTTACATGGAGATCTGGAGAAATATACTTTCACCCAGAGAGAGCACTGAGACTACACACAAACAGTTCTGTCCTACAGCTAAATCGCACAGAGGTATTCCTACATGTTCTGTGTGCCTCTGGGAACTTGAGCCTCACACAGCTGTGCTGTTGAACTGCACCAGCAATCACTTTGTCTTTGATGCAAGAACCCAACAGTTCAATGTCATTTAAGATATTTAATTTTGTTTTAACAGTGTGTTTCAGGTTAATTTTTAAACAATTTAATTCCACATGTTATATTGAATTGCAGTCAAGAGAATTAAATTTTTGACTACTTCTTTAGGAGAAGACCATCTTGCACAATTAGTACGAGCCACTTTGTGGCTGTAGTGGCAGAAAGTGTTGATGAAAAGTATACCACTGAACTAGGGGCTGGGAGATTGGCGTCTGGATCCTGCACAGTGAGATAGCCAGATGCTCTGCTCTGAATGAAGAACATTTCTTAAAATATGCCCAAATACTGTCTAGTGCATATTTGGAGAGCCAGATGCTGTTCATTATCTAAGCTGAACTCTTTCTTAATACAAGAGACGAGTAACTGTTTTGGTTTTTGATTCTTTTTTATTATTATTTCTGAATAAAAGGTTATTTTTATTTTCCTTTTCACTAAGACACTTCATTATTTTTTTAGGGACAGATTCTCTTATACTTACTCAAACTGTGCTGTGTCATACCTCTTGGGCTGTTCAACTGATTTTATTGTCAGTATTTGCAGAATATTACTCTAAGGATATAAAAATAGGTTGTCTTCAGTTATTTTTTCTTACAATGTTTTGTATTAAGTATGTACAACCTTCACTTGGGAATCCATTAATTATTTTTTCTTGTGGGGTGCATCCAAATCCCATTAACATTAATTGGAGTAAATTGTGTGCAGTGATGGAGAAAATAAATCTTCATGTATTCATGTTTCTGAGATCATTCTGCTCATATCTTTATTACTCAGTGCATATTTGCCCTTCATGTTTAACATCACCCTAAAACTTAATTTTTCTCTTTTACTGGATACTTTGTTGATTTATAGAGAGTATTTTATCTTGGTTCTTTTTTCTCCTGCAAAATTGATCTAAAATCATCATTCTGATATAGCTAATGCTGTGTCATGTTTTGTGATTTTTGCTTTTCAGTATTCCACATCATAACATCATGTAGGGCACTGGGAGTTTAACTGTTAATGCTCAAGTTTTGGGTACCTGCCCAGGAGAGAAGAACTACGTTCCCCAGGGACTTTGTGGTCACAGAGAGTCTCGAGATAGAACTCCTGGCAAGGTCACGTGATGCGCTCTTCTTTGTCTGCTCTTCGTCGGCTCTCCGCCCGTCTCCCCACTGCTCAGCCGGACTGCGCATCTCACCTCAGTGTTGTGGTGAGGCCTATCCACCTTTTGGACATTCTCTCTCTCGTTATATTTGATTTATTAGCTTCAAATTTAATTATATTGTATTATAGTGTGTTATCTTGCATTCCAATAATATATTTAGTAAATTAGTTTGTTTCTCCTCAGATCGTTGCTGCTGTTTTTAATTATTTTGGGGTCCCCTGTTCCCCTTTTCCGGAGGCGCGGATTTTCCGAAATCCCTCCGCCCCGCTGGTCACGGAACCGGGCCGAACCAGCCCGTAAACCGTTGACATGCTTTCAGCCTGTGTTCCCTGTTCAAAGTCAACTAATCCCACCCAGTGACTTCAATTTTTTTCCATAATTACTGAGTTGAAGTTATTATCCACTAAAACTTCAGTCCTTAGTAGAATCTACTCTGTCCATGGTAGAAAACTTCAGTTCCCCCATCTCAGGTTTTCCAAAACATGAGCTTCAAAAACATGCTGCCAGTTACTCCATCTCTTTTTGTACTTTCTGTAGAATAATAATGAATCAGCATTAGAAATTCCCTGTTAATCATTACTTAACTCTGTCTCCTATTCTTAAAAGGAACAAAGCACAGAGTTAGTTTTTTGGTGAGATGAAAATAGGCTGATCACTGCAAAAAATACTGAATGGATTTTATTCTAGGTAAAATGGATAGCACTTAAGAGAACTCAGCACTTTCCAGTAAGAAATCTTCCTTTTGTTTGTGCTGCTGAGGATTTGGATTGCAGTATTGCATGTCAAGATCTGGCTTAGGCTAAAGTTTCCAGGAATTTTTGAAAAAGGTAGTTGAATATCAACTGACTTTTAGTTTCTAGAAATTATGATGGCAGAGAAAACAAAAACTGTTATTTCTTCTGACTGTCAATATAGGAATGAGAGAAAAGAACACTCGGAAAAAAATAAACAGATAAAAACATTGATTTTTTTTCCACTCATCTGTGGCATTCTATAATGATTCTAGCACACTGCTATGCTCTTACTGTGTAAGTATCCCAATATTACTGTGAGAACTTTGAAAACATCTCCACATGCATTTGCACAAAAGCAGATTTGCTGTAATACTGGATGACTCCAGAGGCTGATTATCCAATTTTCAGTTCAGTTGGAGGTTAGGTGGGATAAAGGCCATATAATATGCTCACAGTCAGTCTCACAAAATCATGGTCTGGCAGAATAGAGAGAACAATCTGTGCAAAATCAGAGTACTCTATTTAACCAAATCACCACTTCTTTTAGTCATATGACTCTAAAACTTCTCTGGGCCTGGAGTATGTAGAAAGGATTGGGAGAGACCTGAAACTGAAGATGCTCTGTCTTTTTTCTTTCAGGAGGCTGGCTGGTTGACAAGCATTAAGGAATCTGAGTGGTTTCAGTACAGAGATGCAAATAGTTATAAAGGACTTTTTCCAGAGAACTTCACACGCCATCTGGAATAGTTCTTCTCTCAGGCACACGAATGTGGTATGAAGCTAAATCAGTAGGTTTTTAACCTCTTTGAAACACAGGAGCCCACTTTTTTGTAGTTCAGGCTGTTAATGGTTTACAGATCGGTGCCAGACAAAGCTTGCTGAAGCATATCAAAATGAGCATGAGTGCAAACAGTTAAGCTAGCAATTTCTGAAGCAGTGAGTGAAAAAAAAAATCAAGTAAAAACAGAGATGTCCTTATTTGTTCACATGTACGTGGCAACAGGTTTGTTTGTGCTTTGTCAGAGCTATGGTGATCTTGTATTTGGTCCTTTCCCATGAAATTCAAAATTAGCCTCCTTGATAGCAAAATCTTAACTTCTCTGCACTATGTATATTGTATTGAGTTGCACTGCAGAAAATTTAATTAGTAATCCTGTAGTAATGAGGTCAAACCATTATAAGTTTCATGTGTTTAAAAAATATAATTAACTGCTGCAACATATTTCAGTGTTACTTTTGGACATGCATAATATATTTACACAGTAACTTGAATGTGTATATACATAAGTGCATATGGGTATATATGCATTGAAACAATATCATTGTAGTTCTTTGACTGTGTAGCGTCATCAGTACATGCATTGCTCTCTCACTGTCTGGCATTACAGGAAACAGTTTTTTTCCAAAGCAAAACTAGCTGCTCCATTGCCAAAATACTGAACAGTATCCATGTTAGTAACGTGAAATTTTCATTCTGAGATGATGAATAACACCATTTTCAAAGCAGCTAAACCTTTGAGAAGGCATGGCTCACTTTCCTCTTCCAGCTGCAGTAGTTACAGTGAGATAATCTGGAAGGGGAACTGTATTGATGCTAATCTATACTTTTTTATTTAATTGGATGAATAATAATAAAAAAAAAAAAAAAAAAAAAGAATCTCTGAGAAATAAACATATTTTCACAATAAGTATTTATGCAGCAAACCTTCACAAATCCTTTTAAATTAAGATATATAATGTATCCTGTATCAAAAAGTCATCTGTAACTTACATTTTCCCGTGCTGTGTCATTAAAAATGTGTTCTACTGGGGAATCTAATTTTAATTTAATACCTCTTTTTCCAAAGAAACACAGCGCAACTGGTGCACCATCTAAACTCTTGCTTTCAACCTCAAGATTCCAACAGGTCTGATTCCCAGCTCAGCACATCTCCTGGCTGCTCCTCCTGGAAATGGGCTCTGGGCACCAGCAGCAACAAGGGAACTTGTCCGTGCCCAACTGTCACTCAGACTTCTACCTCTTATTTGTTTCTTGCTCATCCATTTATCTTGTGTGAAAAGAAAACTCTCCGTCAGTCTACTCTGTTCTATTTGCTGATGCACGGAAGATACAAACATTTAGGAACACCCACATTTTCCTAGCAGTTCAGTTATTTTTTGTGATATTTTGGTTGTGAGCTTTTTTTGTATGTGTATAAATTCTTTCTACTCTAATTTGTCAGACTTCAGTTGAAGAAATAGAATTGTATTGTTCCTCTGAAAGAGAAGGGAAGTTGCTTTCTTGGTATCTACTGAATTCAGTAGCTTTCAAAAGGAGCTTTGATGGTAACTGTATTTTGTGGAAAAGTGGAGTGGCTCGACTGTGGTAGCTGGGATTTTGGCTTTAAAATGTTACAGTGAGCAACTGGAGTCTTGGGATGTTGTGGAAAGCTCTTTGGTTTTCTTATCAAACCTTTAACAATCTTGGAAATCAATAGTGATCCAGCACCAAGAATTTCTCCAGGGGAACAACTTTTCATTTTTGATGTTACAGTAAATTCCGGACTCTGGTGCATCAGGTTGTCATAATGATGTTAAACCTCATGTATGGTGCAACTCTGATAACCTCCAGGCCACAGTTTCCTGCCTACCTAGATCTCAAAATTTGCTTTTCAGCAATAGCTGTTCTACAGACCACTGCAGATGACCCACAATGGCGCTTCCATTTCCCTGTGCAATCTGCATGGTCACTTCTCAGACAATCAAGTGGGAACATCATTACAGCCATATTGCTAAAGAAGCAAAGCATGGTGTGAAATCCCCAAGGAATCTCTTTACCCAGTGATGTCTGTGTGCAGTTATCTTTGTTATCTCTTCTTGCTAGAAGTATCCAAGTCAAATTTAACACTCTTGACCTTGATACTCCTAAAACCTAGGCATAGGTGTATGTGTCAAATTCCCTGATAGGAGATTTGAGGTATGCATGAGATTGTACTTGGATAGGAAAGGTGCCTAATCTACAGCAAAGAATTTTCATGCTGCCCTCTGATTTGCTCTTTAGCAATACTTCTTACTCCTATTCTGTGTTTCTAAAAATCTCTTCAGTATAAAGAAAAATACAGTTTCAAGAACCATCTAATGTCTGCCTCTCACTGCAAGCACTGTCATTATTTGCTGAAAGTATGAAGATGTACAGATAATGTCCCAGCAGCCATGCTATTGCACATGATGCATATGTGATTGATGCGCTGAAGGTTACCGTGGACATGACACGGTGCTGGCATGAAGTACATCTTACATCTCACATCTACACTTCAGATCCACAAAGCAAATAGGCTTCTTGTGGGAAGGATGAGGAGAATTATTAATGTTATCCTTGAAAGTCCTTGCAAAAATTCATATAACAAGATGATAGATGCAAAAGGAATAGATGCACCAGGAGAGAAAGTGTGCTGTGGGTACAATCTTGCTCGAACTGCATGGGACTTGTTTGCACAGTGCTCTGGTTACTGATGCCCTAGCAGCAGGAAACAAAAAGTAAATCACAGTCTCATTAAGCTCATGCTTAATGAATGTGTTTAAGTATCTTTCTTACTCGAGGAAAAAAGACAATGTTGCTATGATAGGTAAGGTAAGTGGATGAGGTGGTGGGTGTAGGTGCAGTTTGCAAGACTGGGAAGGCAGAGCACAAGCAGCCATTCCACTGTACAAAAGCTCAAATAGGATTTTATTGTTAGTTTGCAAAACAGATTTAAAAGATCTTTTTTATTTGAAACAATATGTCACAGGTGATGACTTACCATTTGATAAGCCAATTCCTGTCTACAAAAAGTAGTTAGCCCAGTTAATTAAGGTCACATTTCTGAAAGCAGTGCAAAAGAGCACAGAGATGTTTTTCTATCTGCTGTAATGAGCAGAGCTGGCTCTGATGTGTTCTCTGGCAGCAAAATGTTTGCTGCAGATCGGAGACTGCAGGCAGGCCATGGGGCTGAGAGCCAGGTGCTTTGCGAGAGTAAAAGCTTTGTTGTAATTCAGGGGGAGGAATTTGAGGTAATGTGATCTTTGTCCATGTCTAGAATCAGAGAATACAAAGTGGGGCATGGTTTTAAACTGAGCATTTCCTCAAATGTATAGATACACGATAAAATAGCCATTTTTCAAGCATTCCTCTCTCAGATCTCCACCCACTGATTTCAGCTCTGATGCTGTTTTTGCATGTAGCTGCCTCCAGCAACATTTCAAACACACCTGTGTTACTCTTGTATGGATGTCTTCACTCTGACCCATTAGAATCACATGAGGAACACCACAGCACTTTCCAAATACTTCCTCCTGTAAATCAGAAGGGATACTTCATAATTAACATTATTCTAGCAAAGCTGAAATCAATCCAAAGGGAACTGTGCTACATAGCACAGTGTGCTTAGAAGCAGTTAACAGAAACTTTGCTGAAAGAAAATGCTTAGAAAATAATGAAAGTACTACTCCGTGCACAGACAGGACTTCTGCCTAGCCACAGACAATAAATGCAATGCAGAGAAGAGCAAAGCAGCATGTAGCCATTGGAAATAAGGTCTGCAGGAGTCAGAGACTTACATGTGCCAAAGAGCATCAACCTCCTCCATCCTGGTGGGTGTGTGCTGAAGTACCATTGTGCAAGGCCACCATCTGCCATGCATTCAAGCAAGGCATGCATCTACACTGCTGGGTACTGTTGGTCCTAATAGCCCAGGGTTCAAAGGTTCTCCAGAAGCTGTCAGAAAAGCAGGCCCAACTTGAAGCTGGGTGGCTCTTCTGGAATAAAGCACTGCCTCTTTGTAGCTAATAACAAGCAAAAAAGTCCCAGATATATCCCGAGCATGGCTTTAGAGCAGAAAACAAACTGGAGTCTCTCCCTTTTGGTGCTGCTGTGCCACTCAGCTTGCTGTGGCACAGACTAACCGTGTCTAATTGTGCCTGTTCGGTTGGTAGGTGGACCGTTCCTAGCACAGCACATAACAGGACATAAAAACCCTGGAACAGTGTCTTTGTAAGTTTAGATTATTAAATTTCCAAGATACATTCTTCAAAGGAGGAGGTGAGTGTTTTTCAAACTTCCTGTACTATGTACATTTCAGGACAGATTTTATATACAAGTTTTGTTTGTTTCTTTAATTTAAACATGTTGAGCTGCAATGGAAGGAAGCTGTGTATCAGTGAATGAAAAAAAAAAAAAAAGAAAAACAAAACAAGAAACCATCACAACCATGTAATCTTGAAGAATAATCTGTGTGTCAAAATAACATTGCTGAATGTGAAGGTGATACAAAATTCTCTCAGTGGCCAAAATCGGACTGACCCTAGACCTGACAAAATGCTGTGACCCCACAGATCTTTGGAGAAATAACTGAAAGTAGAAACTGCCTGTAGTCATTCACAGGGATTCAGAATACTTAAAATAAAGTCTATGTATGATAAATGTTTTACTGGAGAAGCTATAAAAATTCTGAGTCTTTGAGTATCTTCTGGTGCAGGAATGATCATATTCCTGTCCATTTAGAAAAGTACTCTTCAAAATAAAAGGGATTGGTGCACTATTGTTCTGCTTGAAAATGTCAGCATGCTATAGGAATTCTCAGCATACACCCGCGCTCATTACACAGCTGCTCAAAAAGTTTACTCCTTTACTCACAGCAGAGGGTGGTAGGCACTAGAATTTGTATTTAATGGGTACCATTTGATTCAGTCTTCAGATACAATTTTTTTTTGCAATGACCTCTCATTATCTAAAGTTGGCTCACAGCTGCAGACACAGGGCAAATGAAATGAGTCTTATGTACACAGTAACTGGCTACTTCAGCATGCTGGCAGATGAAGATAGAGCAGCACATTACAGAGCTGTTCTCTAACTCATTGCTGCAACACATCTTTGTGTTTCACGCATGTTAAAACTTACAATATAGATCAAACTGAAGCAGCTGCTCATGGGAAATCTGCACCATGTAATGAGATATTCAGCTGATTCAATTCAAAAATACAATGTTGAGCTAAGAGAAGAAAGTAATTTTTTTATGCTACCTCTGCTTAAAGCAAGTTTATAGTTCATCTGTGTTTAAATAAACAGCTAAATTACTAAAAATGAGAAGATTTAAAAACCTTTAAGTGGTCTCATGTTCTAACTCCTTGGCACTACTTTGATCCTATTAAGCCAACATCCCTCACAATTTTCTTACATATCTACTCCTGTGGGCAGCCTGGTCTAGTATTAAATATGGAGGTTGGTGGCCCTGCCTGTGGCAGGGGGGTTGGAACTTGGTGATCCTCGAGGTCCTTTCCAACTCAAGCCATTCTATGATTCTATGATCCTCTGCCTCCATCTCTCTCAGTTCACTTACCTGTGCTTAGCTCTGGTTTCACTGGGATGTTGTTTGTCTGCATTTGCAGTGCTGTGGTATTTGACTTTCAGCTAAAACACTAGAACTAAATGAACATTAGCAGTCTTTTCATGCTGAGTGCCTGCAGCCAACAAGCCAGTTCCTTGCAGGGGACTGTGCTCAATTCCCTGACCCTGGCTCTTGAGACTCCAAAAATCCTGCATCTTTCCTCCTAAGCAAAGTCCTCAAAACTCAGCCCTGGTTGAGTTCATGATCTTGAGGGATGTGGGCTTGGCGAAGAGTGGCGTCAGGACCCTGAACTTTGGAAGAGCAAACTTTAAGCTCTCTTCAAGGATGCCTTCCTGAGAGCACAAGAGCCCCCAGTACAATAAAGACAGGGAGCTGTTGGAGGCGGTCCAGAGGAGAGCCACAAAGATGATCAGGGGGCTGGAGCACCTCCCCTACAAACATGGGCTGAGGGAGCTGGGCTTGTTCAGCCTGGAGAAAAGAAGGTTACGGGGTGACCTCATTGCAGCCTTCCAGTACCTAAAGGGAGCCTACAAACAGGAGGGGAATCAACTCTTTGAAAGGGTAGATAACAGCAGGATGAGGGGAAATGGTTTGAAGTTGAGGGAGGGAAGATTTAGGTTGGATGTCAGGGGGAAGTTCTTCATAGAGAGAGTGGCGAGATGCTGGAACAGCTGCCCAGAGAGGTTGTGGATGCCTTGTCCATCCCTGGGAGGTGTTCAAGGCCAGATTGGATGGAGCCTGGTCTGGCATTAAATGTGGAGGTGGTGCATGTGGCAGGGGGGTTGGAGATTCACAATCCTTGAGGTCACTTCCAACCCTGGCCATTCTGTGATTCTGTGAAAACAGTAAAAGAGGTAAAGAGTGGGTGTAGGGATGTGCTTATATAGGTTTCATGTACTCCACAGGTTTCATGCCATGATGACATGGTATGTCACGTTCCCCTCTCAGCACTTGTATGGGCTGTGTGTCCCCTTTCTCTCACTGTCAAAACCTGAAACTTTCAAAGAGGCCTGAAGCATCAACAGCTGGTAAATTACGTATTTGTAACAGAGGCTTTAGGAGCCTGCCTCCTCTTGCTGTTTCAGTCCCAGAGTACTTATTGCTGGGAGCACTGCTTCTGTTCCTGAGGAGCAGCCACAGCAGAGGCACATCAGGCTTCCAGACCCAGCAAGGCACTGATGTCCGAGCACAGGGGCATGTCTCTAGCTGCTGTCTCCTCATCACTTCTCTCCCTCATCACTTTCCAAACACAGCATAGGGGTTTAACAAAGCCTGTGACTAAGCCCCAGCCCTTCCCAGTGGGATGGGGGAGAGAATTGGAAAAAAAAAAAAAACAAACACCACAAAGTAGAACTCGTGGCTTGAGATAAAACTATTTACTAAGATAGAGAAAAGGAAAAGAGTTATGACTATGTGTATACAAAGAGTTATAGTTACAACTATATATATACAAATGTATATAACAAGTGAGCACAAGCCATTGCTCACTACCCACCAAAGAATGCCCAGCTAGCTCCCTGAGCAGTGGAAAAGAGCAAGAAGAACAACTCACTTGCCCTTCAAAACTGTCCTTCTGTATGATGTCATATGGTATGGAATAGCCCTTTGGCCACTTTAAGATGACTATCCTGATTTAATTCCCTCCCAGCTCCTTCTCCCGTTCAGCCAATCTTCTGAGAGGTGGTTGGGGGGCTGCCCACACTGACTGCCAGACTTAGGGTCTTTGCCTTTTATATAGAATTAAGGATGGTGTTACGAAACAAAAAATGTCTAGGAAATACTTGATAGGGAGCTAGTGTTGTCCAAGAGAAAGAGAACAAGGAAGGAAGAAGTGGTATGGAAAGTGGCTAGGAGATAGAAGGGCATAAAGAATTAAGTCACTGAGTTTGCATCTCGAATGATTTTCAAGTTTCACCTCAGGACACAAAATCTTGAATGATGAGAAGGCACATTCAAGCCTGGGGAATTGTTACAGGATGAAAAAATTCCATCTTAAAGCCCTCCTCAGACTATCTTCAGCTGAAGATCCGGGGAGGCAACAGGAAATACAGTCTGTGCTTTCTGAGGGGCCATCATAGGAGCCACGCAGCCCTGTTTGCTGCAGCTCTCTCTTGTTACTCCGGAGAAAATGGATATAAGCACAGTCCTCAGGAGAATTAATGAGAAGTAGCTCCCCATGCATGACACAGAGCTTTTTGCCCTTCCTTTCTCAGCCACAGACTCTTCCTCCTTGGGCTCCTGGGTGATGTAAGCTGTGTCATGCTGCTCATGAGCAGCTAGGAGGTGCTGCTAAGCTGTTATATATTTATCAGGTAAAACTCAAGCTCAAACAGGAGAATTACAGAAATGCGGTATACTTAAATGTACACTCTCAGCAGAGTTTCTGAAGTTATGTCAAAGGTTTTGTCAAGAGAAAGGAAACTTTCAGACATCCGTCAGAACTGCAATCCAACTTCTCCATGTAGGACAATTTCTTATATGTTTCTGTGATAATTTATATTTAGCAATTCCCAAAATGGAACAGTAACAATCTTGAAGTAGAAATGACAGGTTTGGCTTATTTCAAGATCAGGACACGATCTTGATTAACAGCCCCAGCATGATTTACCAGAAAGGGCTACTAACAGTGAAGTTACTTACTCTTCCAGGTAACACTCTTTGTGTCAGAAGATGGATATTGTTAAGACTTGGAATAGCAAGAACTCCAGGTTTACCCTGAGTTTGTCTGCACATTCCAGACGGAGCAGGAAGGAAAATCTGAACCTACATTACAGCAATCCCACTTCCTCCAAGCTCCTGGTGCCTGTATGCCCTGAAGCAGCAATGGGCAGGACCAAGGCAAGCACAGCACTCTTGTTCATCTTCCAGCTCTTTGGACAGCTATAAATTAAACTTACATATTTTACCCCCCTCACCAAACCACATGCATTTTTCCCAACAGAACTGGGCTTTCACTTCTGACTGTTTGTTTTGCCATTAAGGCAGGAAACCAACAGCAAGGTTTACAAAAATCTAAAGGTTCTGGATGGCAAGCGCTTCATCAGAAAACGATCAGCTGTTGTCCTAATGTGGAGGTAAATATTCTAGCAAGCACATTTCTCATGCTTTGTATTAGAAACAGAACTCTTGCAACTGGTGGGATCTAGACCTTGCTCTAGAGACTCCCTTGGATATTGTTCTGTTCATTGACTGATAACGCAAGAGGCCTGGGGCAGCTCCCAAGCGCATTGCCTACATGGCAACCAGGCTGTTCCTTGCGAATGAGTCCAGTGAGGGGAAATTCAGCATCAAGAAGGACCTCACCAAATCCCAGTGCACCCTGACAGTGGGCAGAGTCACTGCACAAGATGCTGCTACCTACTACTGTGCCATCTGTGCCATCTGTGATGTGGAGCAGCAGATAGCCATAGGGAACCTGCACAAAGATATGCTCTGCTTCCTGAACCACACCCTAGAATGCCAAAAGACTTGTGGGAATGGCCTCACCTTCCCTCTGCATCTGCAAATCCTATGTGGGCTCTAAAACATTTGTGTTTCTTGTACCGTTTGGCCCAGACTATAAGGTCCCTCTGTTGTGCTGCTTTCTCACAGCATCACCTGCTGGCTGTGCAATGTCCCTCTTTGGGTGGCCGCTAGTGAGTCACATCCTGCCCTCAGGCACAGCCCCTGTCCCTACCACAGAGCTGGGGGCTTTCTCTGGGGCACAGGCAAGCAGGCACCATGAGAAGAATGCTGCTGCTGCTGCCACTTCTGGCCCTGGCTGAAGCCTGGTTGCATCCATTCCCCTCTCCGTGGAGGCTCCACTTGCATACACCTGTGGGCAGCAAGCTGGCAGTGCCTGCTGCCTTTTCTCTCCATGGACATGCACAAGTGCTGCTGCAACAGAGTCCACCATCTGTTACCAGAACGAAATCCAGAACTGTGAATATTGAGTGCAAAGTCGAGGGCATAGCTAACTTCCAGGCTGCCTACATCCACTGGTACCAACAAACTGCCTACCAGAGCTCCTTAATGGCTCCTTTCTGTGACAGCAAAATCACAAGTTTTCTATGATTCGGAATCCTATAGGAACAAATATTTGTCCTATAAAAATGAGGATAAAATCTGCACTCTCTCAGTTAACAGCATATAGGATGGAGATGAAGGTACCTACTACTGTGCCTACTGGGAGTCTTACAGCGGGAGCAGCCTGCAGGCAGCCCTTATGGAAAGCTGGCTGCAACCTGAGCGGCACACTTTCATACAAGTGCCAAGAGCCACAGCTGCCTTCCTGCCCCCATCTCTCAGCCTTCATGACATCCCCACAAGCTTAAGCAGAGGAAGGAATTCCAAGACGAAAGCCAAGACACTTATGTGGCAATCATGATCACAACTCACTGTCCATGTGACTCTTCTGTGCAACCTGAGTCCTTTGTTACTGCTCCCCAGTGACAGCTATCCTCTATCTAATGTTCACTGCCTAAATTCCTCCAGGCTCAGTCTGGTGGATGAGCTGAAACCAATATTTCTGCTGGTTCTTCCTGCTGTCTGGACTTGGAAGACACTTTTTTATTTAAAACTTCAACACTCTTAGTGGACTAATAATAAAACTAGTATCAGTAAAGGTGTCTTCAAGAAAGAAATCTGTGTGCTTACCTTTCTTTTCTCATATTCACCACAGGCATGGCAACAGTAAAAAAAACAATACAAAACGATGGATCTCTCACAAAGAAAATGACAGTAGGAGTTTACAATACAAGCCCTGCAATGAGGTTTGTAGTGCATGCTGCAGTCGACAAAGACCTGGAGAAGATCCAGAGCAGATTCACTCTCTTAGTCAGAGAAGGGGAAACAATTCTCAGGAAAGAGCATGCAGTGGGATGGGAGCTGTTTGTGGTGACAAACAGAGTACAGGGTTGGTGCAGACAGCTGCACCAGGGCCCATGGAGTTGTCCCAAGCATGAAGAAGTCAGGAGTTCACCATAAACTAGTCAATTTGTGCCATAAAAGCAGGCAGCACTTTCTATGAAGGGCTGATGAAAGATGCTTCTTGGACAGCCCTGGGAGACTGAGGAGAGTAGAGTGACCTGGGGAAGGGCACAACTGAACAACCCTGCTTTCTACATGTTTACTTAACAAGATTTATGGGTAAGATTAAATGGAAATGATGGATAGGTGCACACAGAACAGTTACTGGATTGAATATTTTAGGTCCTCTCTACAGTGTTACTGATGGGGTTTCATTTGCCAGTGAATTTCCCGCACACAAATACGCACTCCCTGACAATGAGCTGAAGACCTTCCAT